CACAGCCACTGTCCACAAGGGGTAAATGGTCCTTGTTTCGCCCCGTCACAGGTCACTGGGCCAATGTTTTACTTCTAAATGGTACTTATTTAGGCAAGAGTATTCAACTTGTGTAATAAACATAATCTTAGAATTAAGCAATAATATTCGCTTGTGAATTAGCTTAATCTTAGAATTAAAACAATTAGGATAGTCAATGGGTCTTCCTATTTCTCTTTTCTTTAATTTTGGTTAAGTTTTTATTTAACAGGAGCTTAAACAACAAACATATAGTTATAGGTAAAAGTATAGATAATGATTTAAGGTTGTGAAAGAATGAATTGAACACATAAAGAAGTTTTAAAAAACAAGTGACCAAGGGATAGATAAACTGATCAGTGGAACAGAATAGAGAGCCTAGAAATAGACCCACACAATTATGCCCCACTAGTTTTTGACAAAGGCGCAAAAACAGTTAGATGGAGGAAGGACAGACTTTTAAGAAGTGGTCCTGGAACAATTGGGCATCCGCAGGCAAAGTGAAAGAAATGAACCTCAATACCAGCCTCACAACTTGAACAAAAATTAATTTAAAATGGATCACAAATTTAAATAAAAATGTGAAACTGGAAAACCTTTAGATGAAAACACAGGAAAAAATGGCTGAGCTTCTTAGACTTGACACCAAAATCATACAAAGATAAATTAGACTTGATAAAATAAGAAACTAATGCTCTGAGAAAGACCTGCTAGGAGGATGAAAGACAAGCTACAGACTAGGAGAAAATATTTGCAAACCACTTATCTGACAAAAGGGCTGGTATCTAGAATAAAGAACTCTCAGAACTCAACAGTAAATAAACAAATAATTCAATTAGAAAGTGGGCAAAAAATATGAACAGATATTTTGCCAAAGAGGAGATATGGGGGGCAGGTAAGCATATGAATAGATGTTTAATATCATTAGTTATCAGGGAAATGCAAATTAAAACCACAATGAAATATCATTCCACATCTATTAGAATGGATAAATAAAAAATAGTGACACCACCAATTGCTGACGAGGATGTACAGAAATTGGATCTCTCATCCACTGCTGGTGGGAATGTAAAATGGTGCAGCCACTCTGGAACACAGTTTGGCAGCATTTTATAAAGCTAAACATGTACTTGCCATATGGCCTAGTAATCACATTCTTGGGCATTTTTCCCAGAGAAATGAAAACTTATGTTCACACAAAAACCTCTACACAAAGGTCCATGGCAACTTTATTTGTAATAACCCAAACCTGCAAACACCCCAGATGTCTTTCTGCGGGTGAAAAGTTAAACAAACTGGCCCACCCCTAAACAAACACTTGTGTCATGGAAAACTAAGCATCAGTGACACTGAGTGAACAGCTGATGATACATGCTGCCACTTAGATGACCTTGGGGGCATTGTGCTGAGTGCAAAAAGCCACTCTCAAAAGGTCATATGCTGTATAATTCCATGCTTGTAACTTTCTCGAAATGGTGGAACTGTAGATGGAGTACAGGTGGGTGGTTGCGAGGGGACTGGGTGTGATGGGAGGGTGGGTGTTTCTAAAGGGGCAGCACGAGACCGCTCCTTGGTGGCGATGGAGCAGTACAGGGATCTGTCTACACATGGCGTCAGATGCACAGCACCACACACAACACATACGCACTCAGGCAAAAACTGGAGAAATCTAAACGAGGCCTGTAGTCTTGTTAGCAGTATTGTTCCAGTATTACTTTCCTACTTTTGGTATTGTACTACAGGTTGTATGATGTCCCCACCGGGGACACAGGACTTGATGTACTTCTTTTGTCATTTCCTGTGCATCTTTAATTATTTCAAAATGTATCGGTTAGGGTTTAACCAGAAAGAAGCAGAACCAAGAGGAGATACATATCTCTGAGAGGGAGAGACAGACAGAGCGAGTCAGTTTCCCCATGAAAGATTTATCACTCAGGATTGGCTTACACAGTTGTGGGGGCAGCCAAGCATGTCTGAAGCCTGTAGGGCAGGTAGACAGGAAGGGGAGATGGTGGTCAGCTGGCAGGAGCTATTTGGAGTCTCCAAGACCAAGGAAAGCCTAAACCTTCTTTTCACAGTTTAATCTGATAAGGCCAGCCCCACCCAGCATAATCTGTCAAACGAATAACTTAACATCAGCTTATTAGGACTTTTAATCACATCTGCAAAATCCCTTCACAGCAGCACCTAGATTAGTGTCTGACTGAATGACTGGGGCCTGTAATCCAGTTGAGTCAAGAAACTTAATATTGTGACAGTTTTTTATATCAACCCTCAGATAACTACTACATTCTTCTTAATGTGATATGGATATTCCATAATTTTTGAAAAATGAAATATTCTTCTGTACAATTTGAGGCAGACATAAATGGCATTAGTTGAAAGGGTGTCATTTCTGGCTTATAATATTGATAATTTAAAAACACAACTGACTCATTGTTCTTTAAATGTTATAATCTAAATACCATCATCCATTTAAAAAATCCCATGAATAAGCTTTTGACAGACAAATTTTACATTGTTTCTTTGCTTTTTAAACTATGATTTTCATTTCTTTTTCCTCACAAAATTTCATCCTGTCAACCAGGCTGTCATACTACTTTGCAACAGAATTAGGGATAGAAATTGAAGCAGAAATATTTGTTTTTTGTAACCAGAAGGCCCCAGGGGTTAAAAAAAAAAGATCTTGTATGTTGAGTCCTCATAATAATTAGTAGTACACAAAACAATGTAAGTGTATTACTCATTTATAACGAATTCTTAATAACCCAATATTGTGACTGTATTCTTGAGATGAATTTAGATTTAATTTTAGTTAATTCCTGAACCCATGAATGATAATGACTTATCGCTTAAAATGAGGAGGGTTCAGCATTGGTTCTACTTCTCTTTTTAGTTTTTAGAAAGTTCTAAGAAACTTTGTTTCCATAAGTAAATATGTGGAAGACGAAGGAGTCCCTCAGTTCTTTAAGTTACATGCCAAAAATTGTAGTGGTCTGTCATCAGAAATTATTTTTGATGATCTGTGAGCTGAATATTAACCTAGGTCTTGTCAATTTTGTTGAAAACAAAGAATTGTGGAAAAATAACTCACTGAAGGGTTTTCCAGTCAGTCAGTAGAGGCATTGCCACATTTCAGACTAGTCCTGTATTTGCACCTTAGGTGTTCATTTCCTCGATAGACAATGCACCTGAGTCTAATTAGAGTGAGGTAATTTTTTTTTTTTTTTTCAGTGGGAAAAAGGGCTTTGTGAAATGGAACAAACAAACACATTGACCAGAGGAGTTCTCTCAAGGAGAATCATTTTTAGAAAAGTACATTCTGGAAGGCGAGGATCTGGAAATTGAGTTGCTAAGAGCTGTCCACCCCTAGGAAACTTTAAAGTCTTTGGGTACCTCTAGTGCTATGTTTATTCCAGCTCGAAGCTTGTTGCCTCAGAACATTATTTCCTTGATCTTAATCAGAATCTTTAGGGGAGAAAGGCATATTTAGTCAAACGACTTTGCCAGATGGGCATGAATACATTTTAATCTATTTCCTGCAGAACTTCTCAGACCTGTGATGTCGTAATGTCCATTAGGGAACCGCTGTCTACTCAGCAGAACCATCCTTATTAAGCTGCTCATGGAACGAGAGGAAATGGGAACGGGCACGTATATGGGATCCTAGGGGACGCTAGTGTTACATGGAATACACTTTGGGAAGTGCCAAACGCATGCAAACTATTTTGTCTCTTGTTTTGATATATGAGAAGCATGAAATCATCAGCTTGTATGTGACCACAGTACCAAGTCAGAGAGAGGTCACCTGGATTATTTGTGAGACCTGACCCATGGACAGGTCGTCAGGTTTGTTGGGTGACTTTGAGTATCACGAAAGAACAAGTAGAATAATTGAAAAAATAATAATAATACCTTTGAGTGAAATGCAGTTTATCATGCTCTTGTTTTTGAAGAACAGCCTGTGACCCTGCAGTTTACATGGGCAGAAAGCTATTTCTGCCCAGATTTTGGAAGGGGGCTTAAGAGCCCTAAGGCTCTGACAGTGGGCTAGATTTTCATGTGTTGGTTACATGAAATCTTCTCATGGAAAAGCAGTGTTTCCCCAGAGTTGTATTTTGGAGAGTGAAATCCAAGAATGACACTTTTTTTCAGGTAATAAACTATGTGCTTCAAGTGCTCATTCTCACACTCTAACCTCTAGAACAAAGCAAATTCTAAATTTTCCTGGGGCTGCAAGTGCTGAGGGCTAGAGGATTAAGAACCGAGAGGTCTCTGTGAGCGTGGCCTTGAGAAAGGCTGTTGGCTCCTGGTGGGCATACAGCGCTTCCTTTAGGACAGTGCCCGGTGAGGGCTCAGTTCTCTTTCCTGTGATCATTTTCTGTTAAAGTGAAACCCAGAGGCCCTCTGGTCATGGCTCCTGCCCTCTCCCACTGGAACTTGGAGGTGCTCAGTACTGAGTGGCCCACCCACAGCCCCTCTACTGTGTTTGCCTTTTCTTTCCAGAGCAGCATGAACACTTTGGGATGATGCTGATAAGTAGAGCAGTTATGAAAGCCTAGGTTTGTCATGTAGGACTCTCTTGGGATGGAATGAGTAAAAATATTAAGCTGTTTTTTATGTAGACATGCTACTTCGGAAACCTTATTAACTGTGCATAATAACAACTTGACATCTCGATCTATTTTATATAAAGATTAAAATATTCCTAACTCAACTTTTCTGTGTTATCCCATTGTGGAGATTGAGAATGCCAACAATGAGGAAGGTTAAACTTTACTTAAAAAAACCCTCATCTCCAGTCTATTCTTTGCCCAGTATAAATGGTATATTACTTTAACTGTAGTTTCTGCTTGGGGTCACCTTTCCCCCTTCGTGCCTGTCATTAGGAGCTGACTGTATTAAATTACTCTTATGCACTCTTACAATGAATGTTGTTGTTTTAAGGTCTTCTTTTTCTTTGTGATTCTTTTGTTCCCTAGCGTCGTCCCCCAGACTACAGTAATACTCAACAGTGATCGGCAGAACGCCATTGTAGCCAAGATGGAAGACCCCTTGAGCAACAGGGCACCGGATTCCCTGGAAAATATCATTAGCAAGTCAGTAGCCACACCCCACCTTTCACTGCCACTGCCACCATGATGCGTCCCCTTGGGGACAAATCAGCATTCCAAGCCGGGCACAGTCGGGCCTTTCTGTCCTCACGTGGGTTGTACACACTAGGCACCACCCACGGTTCTTTGTGGTGGGGAGGGCTGTGCCATGCTGCGGGCCCAAGTCCCAACAGATGAGCTGGATAAGGGCGAGGGGTCAAGGGAGAGAGGGCGTTTGGGATTGTCGTGTCCAGTGTAGCATGGTATTGGGACATTGTGCTGTGTTTTCACAACAGTCAGCCCAGCCCTTATCCTCTTTCCAGATCATGGCTTATTCATACCTGTCTGCCGGTCTGTCCAGCACATCAGGTCAACAGACACCCTTGTGTAACTTTGCTAAGTAGTGGAGGTATTTCGAGGCGATGGCTTTTTCCTCATACCTCTTTCTTTTGAGCCATTTTGAATTTAACCTTTGTCAGAAATGGGAATGCATAGAAAGCATTGTTACCTCCCTTGTGTGACATGAAGTCCGCTGCAGATGGCCCTGCCTAGCAGTCTGGGCTCAGCATTTCCTGATAACATGCCCCCAAAGGGCTGCTGGCTTTTTGTTTCCTGTCCGTGTCCTCACCAGGCTCTGATCTGCCTTTTCTCTCAGTCTCTGGTGCAGATTGTTCTCCCACTAGCTGTGTTCCGTTTTCTTTATTATTGTAGCCCAGGTCGTAGTCTTAAGAGCCCAGCTGGGCTGCTGAGGGCCTGCGCGTTGGGATGAAGGGGGAGAAGGTGGTGAAGTCCGAGTGTCTGGGTGTCAGAGGCTGAGGCGGTCCGGCCAGTGGCGAAGAGGCAGGGTCAGGCATGCCTCACATGTGGCTCAGGCGGGGTCAACCATTGGAGCCTGAGCCTTTATGAGCCAGGTCGGCTTGGACGGGCCTCTATGGAATCAAGTTCAGAAAGTGTAGCTCTCTCCTCTGGGCAGGGCCAGGATTTGAAACACATTTTGATGTGTAGACAGGGAAATTGTGCTTCCCTTCCCTTTCTTAGTGCTTAGCTGTTCACGTGAAGGGATGTTGCAAGGGTTGTGAAAAAGGCAAGTAGCACATCTCCGGATGCTCTTTTTCCTGAGCACTTTTTAGAGCTGGCCTGTGTCCTATTTTTCTGGCGGTATTTCGTTGCTCTGTATCAGGACCCTTGGTGGGGTGAGACTATCCCCTAGAAGATCTTGACTGGCTTTTTAAACCCACTTTAGTGGTTTTTGTCAGTGGGAATGATTCAGAGAGATAACTGCATTTTCAAAGACTGAGTCATTTCTAGAATGTCTAACAGTGTGGAGTGGATTGGGTCAATGGAAGTCTCTAGGCATACTTTCTCTTGAGTCTTTCCTTTGACATAGTCTTAAAAGTTAGTCTTGTACGACTGTCAACATTTTGTAGGTATATCTCTGTGATCAGAAAGCAGCATTTAGACCTTGAGTCACAGCGAGCTGTGATTTTACCTTGTGATATAAACATTTTTTAAACATCTAAAATGTTATACAGTTTCTTTCAACTCCAGACCATTTCCTGGTATTAAATTGCTATTAATCTTAGTAGAAGGAGCTGCCTGGGAAGACTTGTGACCCGCTGCTCCATGTGAAGTTAGAGTCTGATAAGGGAAGGCAAGAAGAACATCTCAGTGACTCAGCGCTAGTCTCTGCTTGTCGCCTGTGCTGCTCTCACAGCATCGCTGGTGTTTTTCTCCCCGCTCAGCGCAGTTCCTGGGCGTCGGCAGAACACCATTGTGGTGAAGGTGCCAGGGCAAGAAGACAGCCACAACGAGGACGGGGAGAGCGGGTCTGAGGCCAGCGACTCCGTTTCCACCTGTGGACAGTCGGGAAGTCAGAACATCGGGAACAACGTCACGCTCATCACCCTGAACTCAGAAGGTGCGCGCACAAAACCTTTCCTTTGCCTGAGCGGCAGTAGCTGCAATTTTTTCCCCCAGTTTTGAAATAGTAATATATGTTTATTGTTTTTAAAAAGTGATAAAATATGAACATGATGAAGAAAGTGAAAATAACCTAAAAAATTCCACATCCAGAGAGCTCTGTAAACCTTCTGGGCTTTTTTTATGTAAACATGTGCACTGATTTATGATTTTATAACTCACTTTTTACCACTGCATAGTAGAAGTCTTTCCACATTAATACAGGTTTACATAATTGTTTTCCATCAGTTTCACTTATTTAATCAAATTCTGGAGGCTTTCCAGTGATGGGCAGTTGTAATTTTTATAATCAGTGATATAACTAGTAGTCGGCTGACTGTCTTAGATGATAGGTCTCTCCATGGCTCTCTGATGAGGCCTACGGTGGACTCTCGGAGGTGATTGCACATTCACGCTGGGTCCATGCCACGAGCTGTGCCGCCTCTTCCAGTGAGATTTAGAGGGAACTGCATGGTGTGGCCATTAGCCTCTAAGTGGACCCATTTCACCTATTCTGGAATTTCTGTCCCTCTTTCTCTCTCCTGCCACGGTCTAAGGTGCACTTTCACCTGGCCCTAAGTCTGTATAATCGGCCTGGTGTACCCATCTGGCATCTTTGTTGTGCCTTTGGGGGCTAACTGAATGCTTCTCACACAGGACTTATTATAGCGTGGAGAGAAGCAAGAGAACTCCGACAAATTTAGTATTGTTACAGAGTTCAAAAGCCTATAATTTGTTTACTAATAAGAACTCATGAGGTTTTTGTGCTTCACCATCTGAGTCGTTGATTTTTCCTAAAAACACGAGATAGATAGGTTTTTCTACTTGTTAGCATATCTGAAACATTGAAAACAATGTTTTTCTCAAAATTTGGTTCACTTCTAACATAAACTGCTAGGAGTAGGCTGTCAGTAAGGGAGAGGGAGAAGATAATTAAGGGTAAACTTTTTTTTACAATCGAGCTCTGATTTACATGTCATAAAATTCACGGTCTTAAAGCGTACACTTACATGGTTTTAGTATATTCACAAAGTTACACAACCATCACTGCTATCTAATTCCAGAATGTTTTCATCACCCCAGAAAGAATCCCCATAGTAGTCACTCCCATTCTCTTTTCTCCCAGCCCCTCGCAACCACTAACCTGCTGTTTGTCTCTCCAGATTTCCTATAAATGGAACCATATAATGTCATCTATGTTGTAGCAGGCACCAGTATTTCGTTCCTTTTTATGGTTGAATAATATTCTACCATATGGATAGACTGCATTTTGTTTATCCATCTGTTGATGGACACTCGGTTGTTTCCACTTGTACCTGCTGTGCATAGTGCTGTGGTGAACATTTGCGTACAGGTTTTTGTGTGGTTGTACGTTTTCATTTTTCTTGGGTCGATTGATACCCGAGAGTAAAATTGCTGGGTCAGGGCATCTAGTTTTTTTACGCATTAAATTTTAGGCAAAGATAGGTGCTACTGATTTTGTCCTCATGGATATTGAATGAAATCACATTTGCAGAGAAAACTAATTGTTCTTACTCTTTTTCCATGTTGATTATGGATAAACACCCACCAGGTCTGGCTACCCACTTTAGGCCTAACGTTTGTTTGGTTTAAACTGCATCAGCTAAGGAACATAACATTTCATAATTTTGGGAGAATCTGGGGTTATAAAAGCAAAACGTTTCAACTTTTAAAATTATGTTTCTTAATGCAATATGATTATTGTGAAATAAATTTCAGTGGGGGAAACCACAGACTGACATGAAAATGAACATACAAAAAGGAATCAAAGTTTGGGCTTTTATTAATATATTAATATTTGTAAAAAAATATGGATTTTTTTGGTATATGACTCTAAGGTCTTTAAATGTAAGATGATACACTTTATGTAAAACATTTTTCTTTAGCAAAGCCTTTGGGCAAAGTTTTTTTACCACATTTAAAACTAATTGTTTTCATTAAGCATAACTGATACACAACACAAGTTGTTAGGATTGGGTCAAATTAGAGAAATTTTTCTGATTTAAAATTTTACTTCATTTTGAAGAGGAAGTTATAATTCAGGACCATTCTATTTTACCATTCTGTTAGGAGGAAACATTTTGTAAAAAATCTGTTTTCCTGACAGTGTCCTTGGGAATGTCTCCCCCAGCAGTTTCAGTGTTTTAAGAATCAGGTTGAGCTGCCTTAGCTGGCACAGTGGTTTGGAGTAAGATGATGCAGAGACGGATGGAGTCGTCTTTGAAGTGACTGCTGTGTATGTAAAAAAGCTAATCCATTAATGTCTCTTGTATCAGATTTACTGTCGACCTGTGGTGGCATCATCTGTTAAACATTTCTGTGAGATTTATGAATGCACTGAGAAGCGGATTAGCTGTTTCCCTGTGGCGTCCTCCCCCAAGACCAGAACAACTTGCTCAGCTGGGGAGAATGTCAAGTCAGCTAGTTTATATTAGAGAAGCATTATTAATATGCAAAGAGCTAAAGGGCCATAGGCTCGTCTTTAGATTGAGTCATTTCAGTTCCTGATAAGAGCCCAGAGCTGCAACAAGACAAATTGTTCTTATCTTCTTATAAAAATATTTAAGTGCCTGAAGTTTTAGAGAACCACAGGTTTTAAAATGGTTACTTCTGAAGAATTCCAAATGGTTTGCATGAATTGACATGCTGTTTTATATGAAATTTAGAGTTACTTTATTATACTGCAAAGGTACTGTGTCATTTTAATCCAGTATTTTGCTTAGGTGATTCCATCTGTCATGACATAAACTCCAGTGGAATAAGGAAGAAGTGTTAACTGTTGAGAGCAGTGGATGACAGTAAACTTATTTCTTAGTTCTTGCTCCTATCTTCCCTTGGAGGTTTTGGTCTTGTGTACTTCTCTGTTAATACTGAAAGTGTGGTGGGTATAATCCTTCAAAGATTAAGCCGGCTAATTGAGTTAGAGAAACAAATTAGCAAAAAATGGACCCAAAATGGGATCTGTTAATTAATAAAGGGATTTAGTTAGCTTCTTAACACAGAATTAAGTTCCTGCAGTTTATACATTTGATAATTCTTATAAAACTTGACTAATCCTATGTATAAAAGGTTGGGTACTTAATTTTAGTGGGGAAGGGTTGTACTTCAGGTATAATTGAATTACTACCAGAGATTGCCCTCATGAATGTTCCAAAACCCCAGTAAACTAACTTATATGGTAAGTATCTGTGATGTGCTCAGTTGGGGTGATGAAATGCAGTCTGGAAAACCAGTTCATTCAGTTGTGAAGGGTGGTCAGTCATAGTAACAGGAAGCTGAGACATGTTCTTTGAGATGTTCATGGTCCAGGGACTAGGAAAGAAGATTAATACAAATTGGCTGTGTTCACAAAACATCAGCCGTACATACATCAAGAGGGAAGTTTAACAAAAAACACTTAAGAATTTATTTCCATAATTTATTTTACACAAACTTTTTTGCATACTTTTTTGTGTGTGTGATAACATTAAAACACATTTTACCAAAATCATAAATTGGCTGCTAAGAAGAATAGGATTTCAGACAGGTCCGTGACCAAAATAAAATTAATAAAGAGGAACTAGTATAAGAATGTCAGTGGATTTTTGAGCACTATCATACAGTAGATGCCAAGCTTATGCTAGATCCGAGGAAGGGTGTTCTAGAACAGAATGGACAGCATATGACACTGATTAGGGAGGTCCAGTCTGTGCCCAGTGGTTCCCTCTCTTTTATGCCAAGGAGTGCCCTTTGACACTTGCTTTAGTCATGGTTCAGCTCATGATGACATCCCTGCTAAGCGGGCAGGAGTTCACAGGGACAGAGGCCCATCCGGTCCTGCCCTGCAGTCCAAGACTTGACCTCTCAGTCTGGGGCCGTCCCAGCCTGAGTCAGTGGTGTGGTCATTCAGTTTCTGTGGAATGTGCTCACAGTGGCGGGAAAAGAATTAGCTCCAGAACCAAAAACCATTTGTTTTTTTTTTTCTTTTTCTTATATCATCATCCTATATGTAACTCAGCCCTCTTGATTTGCCAGATTATCAGTTTGTGTATAACTGAAAGATATCATCACATCTCTCCCCAATAAGCGTGGGTGTTTGGGCTACAGATACAAAGTTAACCTTGTCTAAAACCAGAAAGGTGGGCAATCAGTTTTTATGAGGTAGCGTGTTAGCAACACTCACTGGCGGTGTCACATAGGAATGAGGTTCACAGTCCGAATGTCAAGACTTTAATTTATAAAAGCTCAGAAATTGGTGCCAGATTCTACATACCAAGTGAGCTGGTGCTGGGAGGACCGGTCCAACAGGGCATGTTTTGAAAAGCCTCATTTGGTTCATTCCTAGCCTGGTCTCTCTCCAGCCTGTGGGCTGCTCTGGTCCTCACTTTTGGCACCTTGTTCATTACTTTGAAAAGCCGCAGCCCTTCTCCCCGGGCTCATCCTTTCTCTCCAGAGTCAATTTAATACTATTTTGAAAATAACTCATAAGCATCTCATGTTCCATGTACTAATGTTTGAGTCAACACATTTTCCAAAGTAGTTTCTATGATTCTGACCAGCCCCGCACCTCCAAAGGCACAGGGGATGCATAGTGTGGTGCATCAGGCAAAAGCTTAGAGGCCTCCCTTGTAACTTTTTCTAATTGTTCCTTTTTAAATCCACAGAAGCATTTGTGTTTTTAATGCTGCATGACATGTTACCACTAATGTGTTAGATGTAGCAGCATGAAGTTTCATCCTATAACCCGAAGAACCCAAATGAACTTGGAAGCAGATCCAAGTTCATTAGGATTCTTGGGGTTATAGGACCAATATCTCTGTTTTCTTCCCGGCTGTTGGCCTGAGACTGTGCTCAGGTTCTTACCCTGTGGCCCCTCCATCTTATAATGGAGCTCTTCTCTTATGTCAGGTCCCCATGACCCTCAAACATCTCCATCGTCCCCCTCTGCCACTAGCACAG